AGCAGTATCTGGTTCTTCTTAGTTGGCTTTGAATAAGCAGAGTCAAAGCTGGTTAAGCACTTGAATGGGAAATCCCAGGTTGTAGGCTAGACTGGGAAATTGAACACTATCCCAGAAAAAGCCAGTAATAACATACCTCTTTATTGTTGCTATGAAAACAGCAAGGGGGATTCTGCTGTTTAGTAAGATTCCACAATAGCCAAATTCCCAGGAATATTTTATGAAAGCTTGTGATCTATGAGGCCTTTGATACTTTTTAAAATATAGAATTAGGACCGTCCGTTCTTTGTATACTTTTTGGAAGGGCTTCAGAACATAGCATAAAGGTAGTATTTATTTGCAATTCATTAATGTAACCACTTTCTGTTTTCAGGATCACAAAGCTACAATGGAATGTTTTTTGTTGTAGTTGTGTGATTCTGTAAAAAAAACAAAAACAAAAAAAAGGAATGCTTTAATGAGTTACAGATAGGTGTGATGTCTTTCCAAGTTTTTGCAGGCATATTTTCCCAGCTGAATCTAAAGAGTTGCCTAGCGTTAATAGGTAGCACCATTACTTTTTACTGTCCATTTTTTATGTTCTTTTAAGAAATGTAAGCTTTGCAGATGCAAGCTTTCCTTCTACAATATGGCAGAAAAAGTACTGGTTTGATATGATCATAGGCAGATGTTGAGGAAATCAGTTACAGATACACATTCTTAGTGAGCTAGAAACATTAATCAAACTAAAGGGCTTTTGAGTCTTCCCGATGCATTATTTTTATCTCTTACAATGTTAACTTGTCATCTGAGCTTCTTAAGATTGAGAAGGAATAGTTTTGATAGTTGTTTTAAGCATTAATGGGATCTGTTCTGTGGAATGATCCCTACCCTTTTCACTATTTCACAAAAGAGGACACCTTAATGCCTATTGTTCTATCTCACCCCCCCCCCCAGATAGTATGTTTTTGGCTTCATTTCATATTGTCTCTAGATGTCATTTTCTGTCTTTCTTATTTAGTCAGTAGTCAACCTGATCAGTGACCTGCAAGAACAGATGTGTAGACTGCAACTGGAGATTAATAATCAAATCCAGGGAAGAAAATCACACAGTAGGAAGCCGAGTGTCGAGGCAATTGGTTCTCAAAACAGCACTGAATGGGTGACAGAGTTCCCTTCACAGGAGAATTGCTTTCAGTGTGAAGTATGAAGGTCAAATGTTAGCCTGAATCTATACATTTTCATATATATATTTTTGAGCAATAAACTAAACATTACTAATCAGAGTTTTCTGTGACCACTTGGCATGAAATGATGCTGCCTTTACAGAATGCTGTGTTTCTTAACAAAGTAAGAGTCAAGTTTTGCTTGTCTTGTTTTGGAGTTGAGATAATAACAGGCTTAAAGGGATTTTGTTAAACTTTGTCAAAACTGAAGAGCTGTGCTTGAAATAACAGGGGCTATTCCTGATATGAAGTTGTAACGGTGATCCATCTTTGATGCATGTTTGTAAAACACACTTTTTACAATACATAAGTAGTCTCAAATTATGGATTATTCTTATGTGTGCTTAATGTCTAATTTGTTAATATATGAACATTTTAACTCACAGTATATTATTAAAGTAGAACCATGCTGCAAATTGTAAAGACCTTAACAGACTTGAACACGGGGCCCTATCCAAAAAACTGCAATTCAGTGGTGAGAAAAGTAAAGACCTATACATAGGCAAGAAAAAACAAATGCAGAGGTACAGAATAGGCAGTATCTGTCTCAACAGCAATAACTGTGAGAGAGATCTACGAGTCCTAGTGAATAACCACTTAAATATGAGCCAGTAGTGTGCTGCAGCTGGCAAAAATGCCAAAGCAGTCCTAGGTTGCATGAACAGAGGGATAGCATCAAGATCACAGGAAGTGACAATACCGCTCTATATTGTACTAGTGAGATCACATTTGGAATACCGCATCCAATTCTAATCACCGCAATACAAAAAAGATGTTGAGACCCAGAAAGAGTAGAAAGAGCAATAAAGGGGGTCTGGAGGCTTAACCATATGATGAACGATCGAGAGAGCTAGATATGTTTAGTCTACGAAGAGAAGGATTAGGGGTGACGTGATAGCTGTCTTCCAGTATATGAGGGGCTACAACAGAGAAGAAGGGGTCGACCTATTCTCCAAAGCACCTGAGGGCAGCACAAGAAGTAATGGGTGGAAGATTGTTAAAGAGAGATCCAACCTAGAATTAAGGAGAAATTTCCTGACAGTTAATCAGTTGAACAGTCTGCCTGCAGAAATTGTGGTGCTCTATCATGGGAAGTTTTCAAGAAGAGGTTAGACAACCATTTGTCTAGAATGGTATAAGGCAGTGGTGGCGAACCTATGGCACGGGTGCCAGAGGCGGCACTCAGAGCCCTCTCTGTGGGCACGCGCACCATCGCCCCATTCCTAGGCCTTCAGATGGGTTTTATAAAACCTTTTCGCTTTAGGCCTCCGCCGCCATGTACAAAAAAAAAAGGTTCAATCAATCAGTCAATTTCAACTTCTCGCGGGGAAAAAAAAGATCTTGGAAAGTTGGAATTGATTGATTGAACTTTTTAGTCCCACCCAGTCTGCTGTTACCATTGCAACCACGCCCACCCAATGGGCCACGCCCACCCAATGGGCCACACCCACCCGGCACCCAACGATACATAAGTGGGTTTTGGGTTGCAATTTGGGCACTCGGTCTCAAAAACGTTCGCCATCACTGGTATAAGGTCTCCTGCTCGAACAGGGAATTGGACTACAAGACCTCCAAGGTCCTTTCCAGCCTTGATATTCTATGTTCTTATGTCTAGTTAAATGTCCCTTAGGTCTTTAGGTCCTTCTATGCGTCTTTATTAATTTATAATGCTTTTATTTAAAGAAACCAGTCCTCTTACTTTATAGAAGTATGTAAGGAATATTGAACCTAATTGCTTAATTTGGTAAATCTGTTTTAATAATATATAATTAACAAGGAAAGCAAAAAAAAAATTCAGATATAATCTGTTTTTAATTCAATGTTATAGTAATTAATGTGTTATTAAACCCATTAAGTAATTTTTAAAGGTTAATCTATAATGTATTAGCATAGTGCATCAAACTCTTATTATTTGATAGACATGAGAAAATTACATGACTGTGGGCCTCCATTTAAGGCAATGGTCTTCAAAATGTATTTAAGTTATAGGCATCTGGTTTCATTCATTTTGTGCATTTTATTCAAGAGAATCAAATGAATGGGACAAAGGGAAGCCTCTATAAAACTCAGACATTTTTTTCTTTGTTTAAAGCTCTTTAAAGTTAATTGCTTATTCTGCAAAAACATCTCAGGGCTATATGGGTTTTGTAGAATAAACTTTCACTCTGATCAAAACCACTTTATATGTCAGACTGAAAGCTACTTTAGATAAGCTGGTAGAATTCAACAGGATAGGACCGACACTGGTATGCCTAACATAAACTGATTTTAAGATTTATTGTTAGCTCAGGTTTGTTGAAGTTGCAGCGTGCTTTTCAAAACTTGGAGAATCACATTTTGGACATGTTTGTTTTGCTCCTGCTGATTTCTTTAAAGTAATGCCTCCGATTCTATCTGTATGGTTGCTTTATATTAAATATAACATAGTAAGGGGTTACCTCATATAGACTGAAAAAGAAAACAAAAGCTGAAAGAAACTGACCCAAAATATTATATATATTATTTTCCCCATCGGATTAGATTAAGTAGGGTCAACTTCCTGCAGGTCCCATCTATCTGAGAATGACAGGATCTTAGAAATGCATTTTTTATTCTGCTCCAATGTGTGGGAACATTCTCTTTACATAGATCCAGTCTATCAGTTCCCTCTTGGGTTTCAGGAGGTACTTAAGACCTAGCTTTTCTATCTCACTCAAGAAGACCACATGTTATATTGGGATACTCTGACAGAAGCTGTCTTTCTGTAATTAAAGCTAAAAGTAGTACTTGAAGTGACTTTATACAGATAGTACTCAAATTATAACTAGTTGCTTAGTGATCGTTCAAAGTTACTGATGAAGACTTTTCCTTCAACAATTAAAAGTCTTCACCATTACAGTGGGCCCCCAAAAGGTGTCTGTGACCCAGTTACAATGCTCCAGCAACTGGGCCCCTCCACCGTCATGTGACTGCATTTCAGTCCCTTGGCAACTGTCCCCCGTTTAGGACCATATGCAGTGTCCCATAATCATGGGACAAGATATTTTTGCCAAAACCTGGCATTTTCTTTTGAGTTTTGGCAAAAATGCCACATAGCGAACAATTATTTTGCTTAACAACTGCAAAAAATGATCATAAAACCCAATCCGCTCATGTGCTTTATGACCCTCATGACTTATGAATGCAATGGGAAAATTCCATTATTGTCATAGGTTGAGGACTACCTGTAGAATACCAAACTCCGATATTAATGAAAGGAGATTAAGAATGGAAATTTCTGGCTTATAAATAAAACAGTGCATTTGCCGCATAAAATAGAATGCTAGATTCTGCTTCCTCTACAGCAGTGTTTCTTAAACGTTTTTCTCTCAGGGCCCTTTCACATTTTTAAAAATTATGGAGAATTCCAAAAGAGCTTTTGCTTGTATGGGCTATAATTATCAATATTTACCATATTAAATATTAAAGTTGATGCATTTGCTGCTGCTACCGCTACTACTGATTGTCTGATGGGATTTAACATTATGTTATTTTTCAAAATAGACTTGTGAATAATTTTGATTTTTTGAGAGGTTCTTAAGGGGCACCCAGAGGTCTTAGAACCACCCTTTATTAAAAAACAACAACAACCTCACGCTTTAAGAAACACTGCCATGCTGCAATATTTTCACTCAAGTCGTTTTACCATAACATAAATTTAACCATGGAATGTATTTGTCATTGATAATAATATTTACATGTGATTAATATAATGATGATTTTACTCTAAATGCAGTGTCATTAAGAAGTATTCTTTTATCTCTCACTTCTCTGCAGAATTTGTTACAGGAACTCAAACACCTGAAAATTAAGGTTGAAGAGCTAGAAAATGAAAGGACTCAATATGAATGGAAACTGAAAGCAACTAAAGTAAGCAGCACAATTTAGAGAAACCTTCCAGCTCTGCCCCAGGAAAGATCTGGACCAATTTGACTCTGCTGTGTGTCACCACTACCACTACCCTGCCCAGAACAAAAGAGAAACAATTCTTTACATGTTTGTTTATTCCAGTCATGTGTGATCCCCAAGATCTGCCATACCCTGCTTATCTTCAAGCAATATTCTCTTTCTATTGACAGGCCTCTGCAGCCTACCTGAGACACCTCTTAAGTCGCATGAGACTTCATTCTTGAAGCGGCTTTGGAGAATGTTCTTCTGCAGTCTTCAAAAAATGTACAAATGCGAAAGCGTGCTCTGTTCCCTTGTGATTTTCAGAAGGTCTGGAGGCCACGTGAAAACACACCCCATTCTCAGGCATCTTCCAGAAATTGTGAGAGAATGGGGTGTGCTTTCAAGGAGTTAGAATAAAATAGAGCTGGAAGGGACCTTGGAGCCTTCTAGTTCAGCCCACTGCTCAAGCAGGAGAACCTATACCATCTCAGATAAGTGACTGTCTAGCCTCTTTTTAAAAATCTCCAGTGATGGAGCGCCCACGATTTCTGGGGGCAAGCTATTCTACTGGTTCATTGTTCTCACTGTCAGGAAGTTTCTCACTAATTCCAGGTTGCTTCTCTCTTTGATCAGTTTCCAATCATTGTTTCTTGTCCTGCCCTCTGGTCCTTTGGTGAATAATGTGACCCCCTCTTCTTTGTGGCAGCCCTCAAATACTGGAATACTGCTATCATGTCTCCCCTATTTCTTCTTTTCTTTAGACTAGCCACACCCAAGTCCTGCAGCCGTTCTTTGTATGTTTTAGTCTCCAGGCCTTTGATCATCTTAGTTGCTCTTCTCTGAATTTTTTCCAAACTCTCAACATCTTTTTTGTGATATGGTGACCAAAATGGGCTGCAGTATTCAAAGTGTGGTCTTATTAGGTTTTATAAAGCGATACTAATACCTCATGTGAACTTGATTCTATGTCTCTGTTTATACAACCCAGGATTGTATTAGCTTTTTTGGTGGCTGCTGCACACTGCTGGCTCATGGCTAAGTGATCGTCCACTAGGACTCCAAGGTCCCTCTCACAGCTACTGTTTTTAAGCCAGGTCTTGTCCACTGGCATGTCACCCAAAATATCATGTTATGTCGTTTTTGACATGTATATCATAGGTTCACCAACACTGTTCTATGATGTATATTTTAATTTCCAGAAGGTTATACTGTGCATTTTGATTCTTTTTGTTTCTGAGGAATGTAGGGAAATATCAGAAGGAAGCCAAAAGCATTTTGTATAGACTGGCTCCTGAGGAACGATCTTACAGAATATTTCAATTACTTCACACTGCTACAATGAACATTTAGTTTGCTCTTTAAAATTGCTAGTTGCTAGAAGTTAAATCCAAAGAAATGTCATAGAAATAGAGAACATGTCAAAATATGTACAATAATTTGTATGCGACCTACTCCCCAGACTCTAGACCAAGATTCTGCATAGTGATCAGTGGGACTACAATATCCATTATTATTGCTGCTTTATTATTATTTGGAGTACTATTAGTAGTATTTATTAAATTATGTTCATATAATAAGTGCTTGAGGGTCAGTGAACAATCTGAAACTTAATTAGGGTTCAATAACCATATCTTAATAGACTTGTTCTGAAACTTGAACACCAAAGCTATTCCTCTCTCGAAACTCCTATAGCCAAATATTTCCTATTTTTTAATTAAAGCAGTAGCTCATGCTGTGTAAAACCAGGATATGTGTAGGATCATATATGGATCCATTATCTGGTCTTCTAATCCCCTAAAAAATAAAAGCAAGTGGGGGGCTTGTTTTAGTTTACTGATATTGTTAAAAGAAATAAACCACAGTGATTCTTTGTGTATTACTTTATTGGCAAAGTGTTAAGATAGAAGTAAAATGATTATGAATCTGTTCCTTTAGGCTGAAATAGCACAGCTTCAAGAACAGTTAGCTCTAAAAGACTCAGAAATTGAACGATTACAGAGTCAAATCTCGAGGACATCAGCAAATAATGAAATTGCAGAGAGAGGTAATGGTTTTTGCTTTATTTCTGTTATTTCCAGATGTTTTAAAAATCATACATAGACTGTTATTATTAAAAATGAAGTGTCTAATAGATAGCCATAGTGCCAAAGAGAATAAAAACTGATTTTCACAGTTATCCGTACAGCATTTCTGCATTTATTAAGTTACAACAGTTGCATTCCCATATCCTGCTTCATTATCTAAGTCATAGTTTTAATTGGCTTGCAGCAATTCAGGTGAAATTCCCACTATAATCTTGTTCTATACCAGGCAAGAGTATACTCCTGCTAAGAGTTTGCTGGAGATAGACTTGCTCCCCATATTCTGGGGAAGAGGATTATTTTTTATTAACTACACTATTACTCTAGATCAGGAGTAGGCAACCATGCTGGCTCAGGAATTCTGGGAGTTGAAGTCCACGAGTCATAAAAGAGCCAAAGTTGCCTACCCCTGCTCTAGATTATACAAAATAATGGACAATATTAAATGTTGTCCCTACTCTCTCTTATTTACCAATATGTTTTATACATCAGTCACACAAGCAAAATATATGTTTACTGGTTGTGTGTTTCAGTAAAAATTGTAGAAAGCTCATTTGGATTCCTGTACTGAGTCAGGGGTTGCAGCTAATGATGTACATGGCTGTTTCCAACTTGATGGTTTCATAATGTTATATAGTAACTATTCAGCCTTTTATCCTTCCAGATCAAATGTGGATAATTGAATCTTGTTCTCCTATTTATGGGCAGTAAAATTGAATTAGTGGTAGTTTACCATACACAAATGATAATTTTAAGATTTTTTTCAAAGATGTCTTGAGACACACTAGGAATTGCATTGCTTATTAAATGGATAAGGAGTTCTATTTATTCATAATGTTGTTGCATGCTTTGCATTAAACACGTTTACTAGATGTGACTGTTGGCTTCAAATTGCTGGAAAAGTTAGCAAATACACTTGTTTTTGAAGACCACTGAATTGTCTGTGGATTCCAAAAGAGGGCCTGTGCATTTTAAGTGACTTAGCTCCTTACAAACATTCTTATGTCCCTTTGAAAATGGGGAAGAGATTAGAAATGTCAAGTATATCTTTTATTTTGGGGTGCATATTTCAGTGGAAATGAATATAGTTATCTCCTCTGTTTTTTCCTGCATTCTTGATTGACTTTCTCCATTTCCTGTTGTAGAGGAAGTGTATAAGAGAAGGCTTAAAGAAAAACGTAAGCCATGAGATTTCCCTTTCTTGCCTTTCAAACACAAATTGCAGCTAAAATGCATTTCTGCAGCAGTGAACATTAATTTATATTTTGCTGCTAAATCATAATTTTAATATATGTAAATAACTCATTATTGAACGCAACCAGGCAGCTATTTGAATGATCTAAACTAGGGGTAGGCAACCTTGGCTCTTTTATGTCCACGAGTCATAAAAGAGCCAAGGTGCCTACCCTTGATCTAAACACAGGTAGTTTTCGTGTTACGATGAAATTGGGACCGGAATTTATCTCACTAAGTGATGTGGTCGTAAATTACAATGTCACATGTCCACATCGTTTAGCAACAGCAATCCTGGTACTTCCCATTGCTGTCACTAACCAAACCCCACCAGTCATTAAGTGAGGACCCACCCTGATCCACTTCCCGGTTTGGTCCTCCCAGCCCCAAGCTTCAATAAGGAGTGACTGCCTCCTCTCTGCCTTCCTTTCAATTCCCCTCACTCACCCAGCTCCCTCTCATCTCTGTATTTTAGTCACCCTGCACACTGGCACTTCATGGCAGTGGTGCTATGGCTGAATAGAGGCCCAGGGCCTTCAGTCTCAGCCAGCCGCCACCATCCAAGGTCGCTAGTTCAACCCTAATGCCACTGCTGAGGAGTGCTTCCTCAAACCCCATGCCGTGGCCAACCAGTCCAGAGCTACAGCACAAAGTCCCAGCCACCTCTTCACTCTGCATTCCACAGACCCACAGCTGACTTTTGTCATCTTCATCCCTCTGCTTATGAGACATGCCCACCTCAGCCTGGTGCAAGGCAGCTGCTGGTCATGCCAGGCTTTCTTCCTGAGGCTACTTGTGCTGTTCTCCAAATAGCCTGCACCATTCTTGCAATCCTTTGGAAAGCTTCTGAGCCCTTCTGTAGCTTTGTGAGAATAGTGTGTGCTATTTGGACAGCAGCGCAAGTGGCCAGCTGAAACTACTGAAAGCCCCAGGCCTCTGCGTTAGCCCCAACACTGCCACCACCACCGAGGAGTCCCTGCAGGGTGGACAAAAGGGCAGAGACATTGGGGAGATAGGTGAGTGGGAGAATTTGAAATGCTCCTCTGGTCGTAACTGAGGATGGACTGCCATGTCCCGGGTGACTTTGGGCCAGTTATTCTCTCTCAGCTCAGCTCTACATGGTTGTTGTTGTGGGGAAAATACGAGGAGAAAAGAGGACTATGTAAGTTTTCTACCTTGAGTTACTTATAAAATAATAAAGGTGGGATAAAAACCATAAATGTTGATGACATAACTGTGGGATGTTGTAAAGGCCATAACTTCAGGGACTTATAACAGTTATTGAAAAAATGATTGTTAAATGAGGACTACTTATACTGTAAGGTTTGTGTTGCAGATAACATTTTTGTTGTTTGTATCTGACAAAAATAAATCTCAGTTTGAAATCTCAGATAATTATGTATCACTTTTAAATAGGCTCTGTCAAAGTCAATAAATTCTAATACAAGCTCTTTATGGCTACATTTTGAGTAACTAGAATGCTATAGCTTAATTACATGTTGTTGATTTTGGTGGGTCTATTCTTAATAAAATCTAGATCTAACCCATAAATGCAAAAGATCTTTTTTAAGTGCTTTTCTACAGAGGGTCTCAATACTCAAACAGTTTTGACAGATGTTTAAGCAGCAGTTTAATGGATGGTAAACAGCCAAGTTGTAGGATAGACTGGATAGTTGAAAAAAAAATAATCTTGAAATGCAAACCACTACTAGTTGCAGAGAAATGACAGAATTGTATCAACCTCCGTTTAAAAACTTATTTCCTTTTTACTTTCAGTACCCATCCAGCATTTATAGTTTTGTAAAAAAAAAAAAAAAAAAGTACAAATTGACCTTTTAAAATATTTGTCTAATAAAGTACTTTTAGGAGAAGAGTTCTTAAATAGTAAAAGACCTTGCTGTGACTCTTTTAGAAAGTTAATGTTTGTTCGTTTCTAACCCATTTTTATTAATTTTACAAATAACTCAAGGCAGCGAACCTATCTAACTTCCTCCCGCTCTTTTCCCCAGAACAACAAACCTGTGAGGTGATTTGGATTGAGAGAGATGGAAAGCCCAATTGGCTTTCATGGCTAAGGTGCCACTTGAACTCACAGTCTCCCAGTTTGTAGCCTGGTGCCTTAACCACTAGACTAAATTGGCTCTCAAAAATCTCTAAATACAAAATGAACATATTTATTTTTTCTGTCTGGTTACTGCCCATTGCATGCAATTTTGTATGGCCTTGTCTTTTTTTCACCATCTATGCCAGTGTTTCTCAACCTTGACAATTTTAAGGCATGTGGATTTCAACTCCCAGAATTCCACAGCCAGCATTGCTGGCTGTGGAATTCTGGGAGTTGAAGTCCACATGCCTTAAAATTGTCAAGGCTGAGAAACACTGATCTATGCCAACTTTGATTTTTAAGACACAATAAAATAAAACATATAATTATTAATTCTGCTACTGCCTCAGTATACTTTACAAAAAATTATCAATCATTAGAATTAATAATTCAAATTTTCTGCATGAAATTATCTCTAAACAATATTTCCTCCATTCCATACTAATATCCATAACTAGTGCTCATTCTTTCTTTGAACTTTCCCTGTGTGTTACATTGCCATCTTTGCAGATTATTTCTTTGAAGCTTAAATAAATTGAATCATTTTGCATTGCTGTACAAAAAACTCTCAAACTTGGGAAATGTCCATTTAAAATTCCTCAGAATTGTTTGGGCAGATATTATAATCAAATCCATTTTTGCATCATCAGCTATATCTTTTTCCTAAAATGCTAACAATTTTATGTCTACAATGAAGAATCTTCCATCCAGTTAGCGGCATTTACAATATTTGAGCCATTTATCCATGTTTTATCTTTGAAGGGTGACTGAACTGTTCTATTACAGTAAATCACCTTAGATTAAATCCAACATAAAATTAAGATTTTACCTATAGGCTAAAAGAGGGCAACCAAACTGGCTGCAAGAAATGCAGGCAGCCCCTAGTTGTTAGCAAAGAAATAGAGTTTTACATTTTTCTTAGCTGCCATCTAGTGATTACATGCATACTTGCAATCCAGTCTGGAAGAAGACCATGAAGTTAGCTCACATTAAAAGAAACACACAGACAAAAATCTTATATTTTAATAAGACTAGTGAAAAGTTGTTATAGTATGTGGTAAATATCTTTTGCATAACAAGACTTTTTCTAAAATTCTCTTAAGCAGATTTAAGAGAAAAAGATACAGTTGAACAGTTGCTACCATTTTTCTCTTGAATGACATTTCTAGATTTTTTCCCCCCAAGGAATTTTATATCATTTAGTAAAGTAGGAAGAGGCAGTTATTCTTAGAAATAGGAAAGAAAAACAAAATCCGAACTTTATAAACATCTTTGTCTTTTCAAGTGACGTTTTAAGCAGTTGGATTTTTTTTTAAATTTTTGTTAATCGCTCTCAATTACTTTGGTTTGAAACTGTCCATTTTCTCATATTTAAAATATTGACACATTGTATTACATTTTAATAAGCAACTAGTTTCTATAGTTCATAGAAATCTGCCTATATACAGACACAGATACGATTATGTGTATACTTAAACATACAAGACTTTGAATCTTTTACTAGTTGTACAACTCTAGGCCAGTGATGGCGAACCTTTTAGAGACTGAGTGTCCAAACTGCAACCCAAAACCCACTTATACATCGTCGAGTGCCGGGTGGGTGTGGCCCATTGGGTGGGTGTGGCCCATTGGGTGGGCGTGGCTGCAGTGGTAACGGCAGACTGGGTGGGACTAAAAAGTTCAATCAATCAATTCCAACTTTGCAAGATCTTTTTTTTCCCCACGAGAAGCTGAAATTGACTGATTGAACCTTTTTGTTTTTTGCACATGGCGGCAGAGGCCGAAAGCGAAAAGGTTTTATAAAACCAAGCTGAAGGCCTAGGACTGGGGCAATGGCGCGCATGCCCACAGAGCGGGCTCTGAGTGCCACCTCTGGCACCCGTGCCATAAGTTCGCCACCACTGCTCTAGGCTAATTGTTTTCCTGTTGTGTTTTTATGTTGTGCTGTATTTTTATTAACTTGAATGTTGTATAAAAATCAGTGACAGAATTTTTTTCCATATTCTCCTCCCTTGTGTAGCTGTCTAAACTTCTCTCTTCCACCAAAAGAAGGCTATTATAGGGTGGAATTGTGGAAAAAAAAGCTGAGGCCAAAACATCACTAATTGTGCAAGAAGGGTGAGGAAGAGGAACAACAATTGAAACCTTCTAGGAGACATATAAAGGGGGCAGTAGGCTGTGCTTGTTGACTAGAAGATTGGCAGTTCATACTGGGGAGCTCCCCGTCTTGCCCCAGCTCCTGTCCACTTAGCAGTTCGAAAATATGCAAAGGCAAGTAGATAAATAGATACCACTATTTGGTTGGAAGGTAACAGTGTACCATGTGCCTTGGTGGATAGTCATGTTGGCCACAGGACCATGGAGGCATCTTTGCTTCACTGGCTCCCTCAGCTGGAAACAGACATGAGCAGGACCCTCTAGAGCAGTGTTTCTCAACCTTGACAATTTTAAGGCATGTGGACTTCAACTCCCAGAATTCCACAGCCAGCAATGCTGGCTGTGGAATTCTGGGAGTTGAAGTCCACATGCCTTAAAATTGTCAAGGTTGAGAAACACTGCTCTAGAGTCAGACACAATCTGTCAGGGAAAACCTTTAGCTTTTTTTTTTTAAGGAGACATGCACATCTGATAAAACCCGGGAACTAATACTCAGCAACTATTTGTCATCTGCATGTCGTTTAAATGGGAAGAAGGGCAATGAAGCTATTATGGTTCACTAAATCACTCATTTTGTATACCATTTGGGATAATTCACACTGTTCAAATATTATTTCCATTTTTAGAGCAAGAAGTCCAGTGTTTAAAAGTAGGAATGGAATCACTATTGGCTGCAAATCAGGAAAAGGTAAGAAAGCAATTATGAGTTAGTCCTGGGGGTTTGGTTTGGTTTGGTTTGGTTTGTTGGAAGGCAATGTTAATAGACAATCAGTTTAGCTTTCAGCTGCATCTGCCTTATGCCTTTAATTACAGAGCTAAACTCAACTCTGCTCTAATTTTCCTATCTGATCTGAAGAACAAGCCCAGCCTTTCCCTCTTAAAGAGATTTTTTTTTAAAAAACAATGTTATTAATTGTTTTGAATAGCATAATAAAAGATAATACAAACCAGAAGACTAAAAAAAGAGAAAATAATGTAAGGAAAAGGAAGACAAATGTATGAAAAGAATTCCCTCCCCAAAAAAGTGATTTCCCACTCTCATCATGACAAGTGTAAACAATTTCATAATCTCTTCACTTCCTCTTAGCTAACAAATATAAGACTCTTCATCCCATAACCTATCTCTTAGCCATAGGGAAGTCATATAGTGGCATTGTTCTTCAATCCAGTTACCAGCAAAAGATCCAAACAAAAATCTAAAATTGTAACGTTAACTGATGTATATATAGAGCTAAACATTCTGCAACTCAGCTATAATGTCAAGATTGCGGCTGATGATCCCACGAAGTAAGCACACCTGAGACATTCCAATTCTCTAATGCAAAACTTTATTGGGCAAAGCATACCGGCACTAATGAATGGAAAACCAGCTCTGGCAATATGGCGCCAGAAAGATAATTAAAAGAGTAAAACTTTCCCTCTCCTCTCTGACAGTTCAGGTCACATTGTCCAATTAGTCTTCAGGCAGTTGTTATGAGAAGAAATTCTCTGCTTGCCATAACATATCTCCAACGACCATGTTTCCCATACGGATAGAAACCACTGTGCATTCCATATGCTCCCCTCCCCCCTCGTAACTGCTGGCAAGCTAGAAGTGGCATGGCTGTCCCAGTGCAAGCAGTCTTCGTAGCATGACATATAACTTTTAATCATTTATAACATTTAAAAGCCATACAATGGTTCCAGTATCCTAATGTAATCTAAATAAAAGAAAGCCCACATTTGACAGAGACCATTCCTCCCCTACAAAAAACAAGCTCCAATAAACCACATTCCAAGAAGCACCTTATCCCTACAGTATATATTCCATATCTCTAAGCTATAAGCGCATTCACATTTCATATATATAAAATAATCCTAGTATCCTAATATAAACAAAAGACTAACATTTAGCATAACAAAGAGAAATATTTTCTCCTTTAAAAAGACCAAGTCCTCACTTTAAATTTTCAAAAAGCAGTTAAATACAAAGCCAGTTTAACTTCTATAAATTTAGGATTACATAAAGTAGGTATAAGGGGAAGAACCTTTACATCATATTAAATGTGAGCAAATCAGGTATCATATTTTTCCAATTAAAATATCAGTAAATTCAGAAAGAGCCACCCAAAATAACATATCCCATTTTATTCTTAGTCGAATAAACCAACTATTTTCTTCCATACAGGCAGTCTTTTTCTGTAATCCATTCAAATGGTTGTTGATCCTGGTTACAAATTACTTTAGCATTTTAAACAGCCTCTTTTGTAAATCCAGCAAAAAGAAATTATTGCAATTGTTCTTTGGGATTATCATTTTTATTTTCTTTGTAATTTGTAGAGCCTAATCGAGTCTTCTCTTTCTATCTGGTGACAAATACTTATTCAGAATCTTGTTATAGTTTTCTCAAATAAATTTTGCTGCATAACTTGTTCCGTAACATCTTCATCTGGGAACCAAGTGTTCTCAAGAAGACCCAACAAAGCTGACATGAATGAATCAAATTCATGATGCAAATCTCCCTGCAGTTCCCAAAGCTGTGTGCAAACTCCATTATAAATTGCTTGTCTTTTATGTCTCCAGTCTCAAAACCAAAATTTCTTTCTGTAGCCAAAACGTTGTCTTGCTCTCAGCTGTTTAAGTTCTTAAAGATTATAAAAGTAAACCTTTATATTCTTATATTGAAGGCTGAAAGCTCTCACCCAGTACTTCCAGCCTTGCCACTCTGCAGGTGTCTTAATTGGTTTAAAGTAAGTAAAAGACAATTTCTGAAAATAGGTAGCAAGGGAAGTGCACAAACTGTGTGTCGTTTGAAAGACCTTGTTTGCAGCTGGAAAAAATATGGTGAATTCCCATCTCCCAATTTCACCGTCAACCCCTCCCCCTGCCATCACCAGAGATAACTGTCTTGCAGTCTCTTTCTGAGGAAGAGGAGCAACCATAGGGAGAAACAGCTTGAGCAATTTCTCATCTCTTTGATCCAGAAGATCGTGTGGGACAATCTGTACCAGCTCCTTTGTAAATTGCTGCAAATGTTGGGTCCACTTGTCCATTGAGCTGTATTCATTCTGCCATATTCCTCCAGAAATCTCTTTAAGAGAGAGATTTTAAAAGGAAAAAAAACCCTCCATGCTAAGGAATATCCTGTCCTTGCCATTCTGCATTTCTCCACCCCTTTTAAACTGAAAGATGTTGAGTATCAAAAGTTTAAATCAAGATGCAGTGGGTGATCATGTAGCTATGAATACTGCTATTTAGTGTTAACAAAATTTTCTCCCAAATCCAACTAGCCTTATTTGTTTTGAGTTCCATGTATAGACAGTCCCTTTCTTACTCCTCTTTGAGCAATATGCACAAACTCCTTCAATAGCTCACAAGCAGCTGCAGCTACACACATTCACTCATCTCTCTTTTTCTCTCACTGCTAGTTCTGGCCCAATCCAACTCAAGAAAAGGGAAGCTTTCCTGAGGATAAAGAGCATGCCACTTGCATTGTCTCTTTTAAAAGGTTTTATATCTGTGCTGCTGCTCAAAATCTCACTGTGCGCAATTCTAATTGGTTAATGCGTGCTCATTTATTTCTTTGGCCGGCTTCTTCATTCCTCAAGTATCTGCTCTGTCTCCCTGTTCCTCTTTGGAAGCTATCCATGATGCACTCATTTTAAGGTCATGGTTTCTGGCATTGTATAACGTACTGGCCTTTTACTGCTTTGTTAATTCCTTATGCTGTCTCTAGCCTTTCAGAATTTTGTTTTTTATTTTTAATTATTACAATGGTGAAATATCTTAATCTTTTATTATAATTATTCCATTTTTCTTTATATTTTATGGAATATAGATTATATTCAAGCCATAACTGGGGAGGGGAATTGGTTCTTTATAAGGGACCTCTTCTTTGCATGGTAATTTAAATAATTTTATGTCAGTATTTCTCAAAATGTGGTTATCCAGAATTGAAGTAGCTAACTATCCTATCATGATTTTTTTTTTCACCCATTTCGTTACCTTGGAGAGACCTTAACCATACTTCTTTTTGGTACCTGGAAATAAAATAAAACCAATAATGTCTAATGAATACTTGGACTGGAGAAAGGACTGATGGCTTACTTCCATGAGCAAACTGGCTATCATTCTGGGGATTGTATTAGCGTATCAAAAGTTTAAATCAACTGTGTGGTTTAGCTAAATTAGACTAGTATGTCTTTGAGAAGAGTGGGGCCTAGGGAGGATGATAGATAGTTTTGTATTAATGTACAGGCTGATGCATCTTCCTGAAATAATAATGTGACTTTTAAAGCAAATACTGTGTATATTATTTTGCTAATAGTTGTAGTTAAAAAATGTTGCAAGTGGCCTCACATGCTGTCCCATTACCAAGATGCTATCCATCTGCAGAGGAAGTGGCAGAGGCACACCAATGCACTTGTGCACTGTTGAATATGATGGTGCATTATTTCAGATTTGATTCAGAAGAGGATGTCCAGAAAACACAGGAGCACTAATGTAGCACCCATCTGCTATCGCAGGAGTTGATACACGGACACTTCCATACCTGTCATAGAGTCTTAAAGGATAATGGGATAACCTACCTACAGGGTTACCTACAAACCATCCCACAGAAATAACTTCAGGATTTGGAAGACTAGAAAAAATCTCATGTATCTAATGTTCCACTCAGAACTTTCTGTGTTTGATTATTTTGATACTTTTTATAAATTCAGTGTTGTTGTCTTTTCCTTTATAGGACCGTCGCATAGAAGAGTTAACTGTTTTGCTAGGCCAGTACCGAAGGGTGAAAGAGATAATGCTAGCGGTCCAAGGTATAATTAACTACTGATGTATTGATTGGAAGGTCCTCAAAATGGTCTCATCTAATTTAATAACTAAAATTTATCTAATGCTCAAAAAAATGGCCAACTGCCTTCATTACCATCTCTTCTTTGTAGCTCTGTGGATATTTGTGTTGAACACAGTGTAATAACCTCTATGTTTATTATGCTTTTCATCAGTAGATTGCAGTGTCAATATGGGAAAAGTAAAAGAAGATTAAACAATTTTTTTGCTCTACTATTTGTGTTTATAGCAGGAAAACATAGCTTAATATTGATTAAAGCTATAATCCACAAGCTACTATATAGAAATACAGTTGTGGAAAAAACAGCCTATTTCCATTTCCTTTAAAATTGAATAGACTGATAAATGCTTGTGCGGTTGTTTCAGAGGGAACATTTTAAAATAAAAAGATTATGCAGCTGTTTACTACAGGGTAATATAAAAAAGTGAAAGAAAGAGAAATAGCTTGCTGCTGACATGTTGAAAATAACTAAAGAAAGGCTGTATTCAGAAGGCAACAGTTTGCCCAGCTACAGGCTGGATTAAATACGAAGAGGCATCTTACATCTAAGGAATTACATCTAAACAGACACGACAAAGAGGGTGTGGATAATATTTGGAGGGAAGTACAGGAGATTTATTTGAGAAAATTAGGATAACATGTTATGTAAATATAGAACACAAAGATCTCCTGAAGAAAGAAAATTAAGGTGAAAGTATTTGGAGGAACTTTGTTAAAAAGATTGTAAAATCGATGATGGGTAGAAAGGTTTGATCACTGAATTAGAGCTAGATATGAAGTTAAAATGGGTCCTAGAAAATACAACTAACAATCAAGTTGCTTAGATATACTGAACCACAATGTGAAAACAAGAGAATTAGAGAAGGCCTGATCCTTGGGAAAAATAAAAGGCAATCAAAAATAGGCTAATAGAAGACAACATGACTTATATTATCTCTGGTGATTTAAACTTGAACTTATAAAAACTCAAAAAAGCAGTTATTAACAGACAATGTAGACAATCACTAAGAATCAGAAGGAACTGAACAGCAAAGTACAGATTGAAAGACGAAGAAAAAACTTTGATCAAATCACCCTTTTCATACAAGGAATAGATATGGATAAAAATCACCATATCTTTGCCTGCAAATGCCTTTCCATCATTCGCAGGTCAAGAAGAAGTGATAAAACTCTCATTTAATAACTGTAAAACATTCATAACAGTAAAAGTTGTACAATAATTACATTGGAACACATTTTTAAAACCTTATCGTTAAAAGGGGAAAGAATGCCAGCAACATAAGTTGGTGAGTGTAACATAAATGTAATGTGTTTTGTATTCTGTGTAATTCATATCCTTATCACATGTGCAGGAATTTAGAGAACATTGTAAAATAACAAATATTCCATTTATGCTCTCCAGGAAGCTTCATTGTTTGAGATCTCAATCACCTCAATTTACCTGTATAGAATGCAAAAGTCTCCAGATGTGAGAGCTCAGAGTATTGCTTAGTTACTATGATAATAATAAGTTTGACAATGGAAGCATTATTATTGTTTAATAATGATTTTCCCACAATGAGAAAAACAATCAAAGTTGAAAGCATATTAGCTGGTATTTGGTCTCCTATGTCTACATTCTTCAAACTGTCTTCCTTAAGCATGAAACGTTTATTGGATGGGATGGCAAATTGTATTCAGATAATTCTTGCTTCCATTGTTAAAACTGATTTCATGCTTAATCTATTTTCTCTGTGTTCACTTATCTTCATGAATAGGCTTTTCTAAATCCAGACAGGAACTGTGACATTTTATGTGGATATCTAGTCAGAATGGAAAACATATATATAGAACATTTATTTTTCCTTCTTTAAAATAAAAGCTGCATATCCAAATAAAATAAGTTTTAAACCTATTTAGCCATAATAATGTACAACTAATGCATTATAGTTTTAGTAAAGCTATAATTATAGTATTGCAGTTTAAATAAAGCTATAGTGTAATACTTGCTGACATGGTACATAACTTGACATCAAAAGTTACTTTAATCATCATATTTCTCATCTTGTAGTCATTATTAGGCTAATGCCAAGCCTAATCCTTTAATATTTCTTAAATGATAGGTCTAGCAAAAAGGTTGTGCTAAATTGCTCTGTTTTTCCCCAGAGCAGGCAAAAAATACAGGAAGAACTGCAAGAAGTAACTTCTCTGTGGCCTTGCCTCCATTTATCTAAACGTAATATGTAAACTAAATATTATGGGGCAATATTTTATTGTGTATGGTTATATTTTCCAGTTGTGTAATGTATCTTTAAAAGAGCTAATTTACCACAAAACTTTCAGTGATCCAATCTGCTGTAATTAACTATGTTTGGCTATTATGGGTAAAACTGTAATGGAACAACATAAAAAATAACTTGATTATTGTACCATCCTTCTCTCTCTCTCTCTCTCTCTCTCTCTCTCTCTCTCTCTCTCTCTCTCTCTCTCTCTCTCTCTCTCCCCCTCCCTCCCTCCCTCCCTCCCTCCACATATTCATACATATATAGTACTTTATATTTCTTACATATATGGTATTTATATATTATAGCTTTGATTTAATGTTACAGAAATTATATTTTCTTTAAATATAATTTGATTAGCACCTCCTTCTACATAGGTAAATCTAACAAATATTATTTGGCATGAAACTCTGAAGATTTTCCCTCTGAAATAAGTCATGTGCAATTATCTATATCTTCAACAGAGATCTTTGAATCTATTTGTTTTGGGGAAAACTTTTTTTAGCCAGAAGCTTCTTATATATTGTTTTTGTCAAACATTGAAAAATATTAAAATTACCTTGCCTTCTCATGAATAGTTACTAAAGAAATACTTATCAAGAATAATTATGCTTTTTAGGCATCCTCATCGGAGTTATAATACTGCAGTATCTATATTTATTTAATTTAATCAGACAAATTTTATTTATTTATAAAATTTATTAGCTGCCCTTCCTACCATAGGGTAATTCTGGGAGACTTACAATTACATCTAAGTTAAAACATAAAAAGTTAACAAAAAAACCCATTAAAACCAAAGACACATGGAGAGGGTGGGGGAAGGTGGGATCTGTATTACCCAATCAACCACCTCCATTGGGCTGGTTCCCCCACTGAAGCCTCAAGCTGAGTGGCAAAGCCATGTCTTTAGGCCCTTACGAAAAGATAAGAGGGTTGGGGCCAACCTCACAATGGGGGGGCAAGATGTTCCAGCAGAGAAGGCCCTCTTCCTGGACCCCACCAGCCAGAATAATTGGGCTGATGGGATCCGCAGCATGCCTCCTCTGCTGGCACAAATGGTACGGACCAATCCCAGTGGGATGAGACAATCCCTCAAGTAACCTGGACTCATGCCATGAAGGGCTTTAAAGGTGATTACCAACTCCTTGAATTGCACCCGGAAGCAGATGGGTAGTGTTACAGGGGCCATTCTTGGGGCCCTCAAAACTACCCACCCTGCTGCACTCTGCACCAGCTGTAGCTCAAATGGTGCTCAATCATCTTGATTAATTAGTATTTGTAATATTTTTTTCCCACAAGGACCAATGTTAATGAATTACTTCATCAAATCTCTAGATTTAAAATTATTTATAGTAGATGTATTCTCTCATTTTAGGGTTACAGAAGAGAACCCTAATAATCTAGCCATTTGGTGCTGATATGTTAAAAAGCTGTAGAGCTGTATTTACATGATTGCCAATAACTAGAAGCCCAGGTTGCTCAGTGGTTAGAATGCAGTACTGCAGGCTACTTCTGCTGACTGCCAGCTGCCAGCAGTTCAGCAGTTCGATTCTGACCGGCTCAAGGTTGACTCAGCCTTCCATCTTTCTGAGGCCGGTAAAATGAGGATCCAGATTGTTGGGGGCAATATGCTAACTCTGTAAATCGCTTAGAGAGGGCTGTAAAGCACTATGAAGTGGTATATATGCCTAAGTGCTATTGCTAATTCAGATCTAATTACTTCAAAACCACAATCTTCCCCATCTAGTGATTTGGTTCTTCTATATACAGGGTTCATGTTTCAATTTCATAAGACATTTAAAGCCGAACAGATCCTCAGTTTTGATTGTGTCAACTATAACTTATAATTTTATGTGGTGATTTATACTGAACGGGCCATGGTTCTTGAAATTAATTCTTGCTCATAGCATAATATGATTTTTAGTTATCTAAGGCAAAATATTCAATCATTCATAATTTACTAATGATATACTGGGAAATTATAATTTCCTTAGCTTTTTAAGATCCTTTATTTATTTGTACTTTATCCTTTTATTTCTCTGTTTTATATTTGCATTTTTACATACTTTGTATAAAAAATAAATTTCTGGGACTAGTTCCTGCGGTTATCTTGTAAAGATTTTTGGAAGTGATTTGCCATTAAGTTCTTCCTAGGGCTGAGGGAGAGTGACTGGCCCAAGGTCACTCAGCTGGTTTCGTGCCTAAGGTGGAACTAGCACTTACCTGTCTTCTGGTTAGTAGCTAGTGCCTTAATTACTACACCAAACTGACATTCTTAAAATCCTTCAACCATTTTCAGTTCTAAATTACAACTTCAGGAAATCATTCCTTTCTAGAAAATGTAGAATTATGGAGTTGTTAAAGAGATTATGTAACAATCAGCAACATATATCAGGAATTGTTTATTAAATGAATCCACTTTATTTAACTTTTCTTGCTGAATTCTTTACATATTTGATTTTAGCCAATTGGTATTTAAACTTTGGTAATATTGTGAGCTTTTGTCCTTTTAACTGATGTTTTAAAATTTTTGCACCTTCAAGGGACCTCAGAAAGAGTTTTGACTGGTAGTGGTGAAGTTGATTTTGAAGCAACCTTAAGGAAATGGAACCACATGCATGCGCCACAATTAGAATATAAATCAGAGGTTGGTTTGCTTATTCTTTCTTTCAGTTATGTACTTAATTTGTCACTTTTTTCTGTGAAAGTTAATCCACACTGAAATGCTTTTTACATAGATACCTCAAGGAGACGTGGCCCCACCTATATTGCTTCCTGCACCACAAAAAATACTGGAAATCAGGTAAGAGCTAATTTTTTCCTTATTTTGTTGATGTAGCTGAATGTATCCTATTTCTGCTATACAATTTATTTTTCACAGTTAATTGTGGGCTACTTATGTATGTTTGTTTGGGTACATAGCCTGAGTTAGGGTTAAACTAAGTAAAATATTGCCCCTTATATTCTATTTAAATTAAATTCAAATTCAAATAACACTATATTGTTATCATCAGCAGGGGAAGCTCTCCAGTTCCCTCAAATAAGCTATCTTTGACAAATGGGGAAACCCTGGAATTTCAAAATAGGTAAGGAAATAACTGTGAAAATTTTTTGATCAAATTATCAAAGTCATTGTAACAGGTACCGTTACAATGAGTTAGAAAAACTTGTGTATTCTGGTCCATCTGTAGGAGTTTATTGTCTAGTTTATCTAAATGAGGTTTTCTGTCAATATATCCATTGATGCATACACTTCATGCTGTTACCTTTCAAAGTAGATTATGTTATGAAAAGCACAGAAAAGAGTGTAGCACTGAATGAAAGAAGTTAAAATAAGTGGTCAGGGGAAAAAAGGAAACAAATCTTAAGTTGATCTAATTTAAGCACCACTTCTGAATTTTCTCTTTTGAAGGATATTATTGAATCCATCAGCCAAAGCTTTTATGTCTTCCCCTTCCTCACAGCCTATTCACTCGTTCTTTATACATTTATGTGTTTTCTTTATATGATCTATAAAGTGCAATTCATTCTTCCTCCTTTGCCTCCCACATAGTCTAATAATAATTCAGTTATTATGTTCACAGTCTATTTTGTTTTCCTTTGATAAACAAATCAGTCGCCCTGGAGGCTGTGTGTTCTGGCATTTGGATGGCAAGAAAAAAAATTCTTGTATTCCGGATGCATCTATCAAAAACCAGTATACTTCTGGCCTTCATATACAATGTATATTACAAATTATGTCCATATTAACATTCTGGAAGCATCTTAACTTGCTCTAGCCTATTTGCATGTACATGGACACACCCATGTCTTAACAGCTAAGAGTTTTACTGGTGGCATTTATTATTCAAGCTTAAGATTACAGGTTATGTGGGAGGGTTTTGTAAATGTCAAATAATTGTTGCTATCATCAATGTGATTTGGTATATGTATGATTTCATTAATTATTGCCATTATATTTTGAAGGATATCTCAGAAAAAAATTTCAAGTAGTCTAGAAGACTTGCAAAGTGAATCTTTGGAAAAGGTTAGCTCCAATATTTCAATTTTTGTCTAATAAATATGCATAATATACATAAAGCTGGATATAAAGCTCAATCCATAGAAGTTTCATGTAGCAGAATAATTCTAATTCCACTGTCCTTGACTGAGATAAAAAAATGGCTCTGTACTGTCAAATACATCAATATCTGCTAAATCACCAACATCAGGAAGAAGCTATATATTTGATAAATTCTGAACAACATATGCAATATAAATCCAAATCTAAAATAATTTGATTGCACATAACTAACTATACTCATTTATTCATCATGAAGGTAATATATCAGTTTAATAGGCTAATCTGTGGGCTTTCCATTGTATACCTTCAGTATAATTTGTGTTCTCATGTATAGTAAATGAAGAACTAACTTTCCCAATTACTATATAATTCTAAGGTTTATTTTCTCCTTGTTTTCCACATTTACTTTGTTCTTTTGTGGTGTATAATTTGGATGTCCATACTAGGACTCTGAGGGATCTCGGAGTCCTAGTGGACAATCATTTAAATATGAACCAGCAGTGTGCTGCAGCTGCCAAAAAAGCCAACACAGTGCATTAACTGCATTAACAGAGGGATAGAATCAAGATCACGCGAAGTATTAATACCACTCTACAATGCCTTGGTAAGGCCACACTTGGAATACTGCATCCAGTTTTGGTCACCACGATGTAAAAAAGATGTTGAGACTCTAGAAACTAGAGTACAGAGAAGAGCAACAAAGATGATTAGGGGACTGGAGGCTAAAGCATATAAGGAAAGGTTGATGGAATTGGGTATGTCTAGTTTAATGAAGAGAAGGACGAGGGGGGTCATGATAGCAGTATTCCAATATCTCAGGGGCTGCCACAGAAAAGAGGGAGTCAAGCTATTTTCCAAGGCGCCTAAAGGCAGGACAAGAAGCAACAGATGGAAACTAATCAAGGAGAGAAGCAACCTAGAACTAAGGAGAAACTTCCTGACAGTTAGAACAATTAACCAGTGGAACAACCTGCCTCCAGAAGCGGTGAATGCTCCAACACTGGAAGTTTTTAAGAAGAAACTGGACAGCCATTTGTCCAAAATGGTATAGGGTTACCTGCCTGA